TAAAAGTATCGAAACAAAAGTATCGATACTTCAAAGTATCGAGTACATTTCACATTTCATAGGGCCTTATCGGATCCTCTGTGGCCCGATGAGCAACCCCCCCCCCCCCCGGGGGGAAAATTGAAAGAAAAACAATCCAATTTTATTATAGTACGTATAATAACAGTAAAAGGACATATAAATTCACAAATTGCTATATTATATAATGAAAAGAAAATAGCTGTGATTTCTGACACTTAAAAAGTGTTCATTAATATCACATTAATAATTAAAATGTTACTTGAATCTGACACGCAGTTAACGGCGGCCATTGGCATGCTTCACTCAATATTATAATTATAGAAGAGGTTACGTCCGTCTTTTTTTCAGGTCCGTGGTTTCAAATAGGTATACACAGCACAGACAGAATAATAGTGTTACACTTGAATACATCAAATGCAGTCAAGCGAAAAGCACAATAAACGGCGAATCATCAATCACAATTCCTAACAATATGGTCGCTAAATAAATAACTATGAAACAAAACAAAGCGCAAAGTAAACACAGTCACAGATTGGAAAGAATTTGAATATATCATAACAATATGAGGCGCTTGTCCAAATTTTAAAAGTATCGATACTTACTTGCCAAAAAGTACTCAATAAGTAAAAGTATCGAATACAAAGTATCGAGTACAAAAGTATCGGTATCGAAAGGAAAAGTACTCGATACCACAAAGTATCGATACTTTTTTCGTGTCCCTATCCCTTGTTTGCCACCTTTTTAACATAAAAAAACTTATGATTTTATTTATTTTTTAACCCGGCGTCAGCACAGTCAAAATATGCAACAACAACAGTAGGGTTGGGTCGAGAGGACCCGTATAAGAAAACGCCATAATTACAAAAGTTAAAATAAATTTGACTTGTGGTTGTACTATGTATAATACGATTATCGTTATAGGTTTTGAGTAGAAAAGACCACAACCTGATACGAAACTACCTTTTCAATTTAATTTTCATAAAAGTGTCACAAAATATTAACAAAATGGACAACCTCTGTCTTAAAGTAATAAAATTATAACAAAACACACTTTTTTCTGTAACATAAACTAATTTGTGACATGTTAATCAAATCTTTAGTAGACTAATAATATTATACTACTTGTATCAGTCTCATACGTTAGTTATAGTATCCTTATCATCTGCGCAATCTCGGCAGTACAACATTGCATGCTCACTGCAGATGTATTTGGTACAGCTCCGAAAAGTATTATAAGTTTTTCTATCTTTTTTGGCAGAACAGTCTTGGCATCTCTTTCTTACATTAAGTATCTTCGCAGGTTCTCCTAAGAACTCTCTTATTCTTTTGCGCATAAGTCTTGGCAATTGAATGACATCTTTACGATTGCGCAAATGCTCACGAACCAGTGTAAGGCTTTAGTTTCTTTAGAAATTGGCGTCGCTTTGATGTAGTGTTGTTATTCTTGTTATGTAATATGTACGCATTTATTCCAGACATATATATTATGCCAAAAATAACAAAATAAACAATATAAAACAACCAAAATCATTTTTTTAAACGGCGCAAAATTACGACACGAATAGTATGGTTGGGTCATATTTACCTATTTCGCGTTTGGCCGTGTCTATCACCTGCTGCGGCCGCAACACGCCTGAATGGCGATATCCTGCGCTTAAGGGGGACCATTAGCTTCAGCTACTGAGAAGCTTGGCGACGTCGCACAAACATTTTAAGAAACACGCTCATTTGAAAACTGCTCGGGCTGCTCTGCAGACCCAACTGTGCGAACGCCGGGTTAAGCATTTAACTGCTCGATGTTTAAATCTAAAGAAAATATTACAATGCGAAAAGATGGGGCTGCCTTACAGATTAAGTAAGGCTAGAAAGAATTTGACACGGCCATCAGGGCCGCGGTAGCATAATTGGTCAGTGCATTCGCCCGGATAGCGAAGGCTGCGGGTTCGACTCCCGTCTGCTGCCTGATCGCATAAAAAACTTGACAATATTAGATGATGATCAATATACTCTCATCTACTATTCTAAACGCTTTCATTCCAAAATGCATTCAAGTACTACTTTTGAAATTTGTAAGTTTCAAAAGTAGTAATGTTGAATTTCAGCTATCCCGCTGCTCATTCCCCTTTCTCAAATGATAGACTTGCCTTTCGGCTTTGAAGATCTTTCAATCGATCGTCAAATAAAGAACCGACCTTAAGCTGTCAATGATGAAACAAGATAAGCACAGGTGACATTCGTTGGCCTAAATCAAAGCCTATTGAAACGTTTTGTTGAAACAACTGTCATGTAGCTCACTCTATTATAAGGTAAGCTATCTCTCCACGTGAATAGATTTTCCTCCGGATGTGGTGGGGCGACTTACATCGGCCTTACATCGAGGTCTTGACGAGGGTCCGTAAACAAGGTGTTATTTGACAACTCCCATCTTCCAGCTATTGTGTCACAGGTACGGTTGACGGGAGCTTAGATAGAAATCTGAAATCTGCTAATGTAACACTAACGGAAAGGTGACGCAATACAAGTAAAGTGTAACTTGCTTTACCTACTTTGAAGTGTAAAACAGAGTTGGTTGATTAATTTAGGTTTTATTCTCTTATCATCATCAGTTTATCAAAAATTTTCCATGTAAAAAAATATATAAAACACAAAGCGCGTCAAAGTTCGTGACGTCGCTTCTAAGTAAAAATTGTACCAATACGTGAAATCATGCGATATTTCAAATCAATATATCTATTTTACAAAACACAAAGCGCGTCAAAGATGGGAGGCTTGTGACGTCACTTCTAAGTAAAAATTGTACCATCATAAGTGTGTGACTACATGCAACATTTCTAATCAATATATCTTTGTAATGATTACATAATAAAAGAAAACAAATATGTCCGTCTGTACATATACGATGTATGTGTTAGACGAAGAAAAAGAAAAAAAATATAGTCGTCATCCCTATTGCAACTCAACATCCACGCTTACAACAGTTGCAATAGATATTTCGATACGAAAAATACAAATATCAGTTTTCTCCAAGGATGGCTAAAGAGAATATGGCCCAACAAGCAGGCCTAGTGTGGATTGATGAATTGAACTTACAGATGCAGCTAGATTGATCTCAGACGAAACATATTTCGGTCACTCATCCCAAATAAGCCATTGCGAAAGTTGCTTAAATTTCCCAGACTTAACTCGCTACTGTCTGCGTCATCAAACTCCTCTTTACATAAAAATTGAATATATTTATCTTCCTATCTTATAATTGCAAACCTATATAAATAATACTAATCAAAGGGGAACATGCCCTTTGGTCCCTCTGGCAGGGGATGTCTTTACAATTTTCCTGTTATAAATTTATTAGTAGCTCCTTTCAAGTGAGCTCAATACGGGAAGATGGAAAGCATGAAAAGATGTCATTCGAGACAGGACCGAGCAAGATTGATGGCAGTTTCACCTCGACTCCATTCAGTTAAAAGATGGCCATACAAAAAAAGTTTTGGTATTTTCACAGGACAAGACATGTACGTTCTGTAATCCAAACCTTATTTAAATAATAAATACAATGTGTTCAAAATTACTGTAAAATCTATTTGTTATACAATTGAAAAGACGACTTCTTGATCTATATAAAGATTTATATGCGTTGTTGTTCTTGCTTCTTTCTTGGCTCTATTGTAATATTTTTTGAGTGTGTATGGTGTTAGTCGCAGATGACCTTTACAGCGTCACCGGGTTTGGCGACGGCGAGATTCTAAGGGGACTCAAACCGAGAATTGGCGAGTACATCGAGATATTCCAGGCGGACGGTCTCTCCCCATGGGGGGAGTCTCCTCTCCGTCTGGAGCCTCTAGAGCTAGACCACTCGAACCTGAGGGGGTCGGCTCAACTAAAGGGCGTCTCTGAGACTCGGACCTCGGCTCTAGTTAGCTGTTGTCGTGGGGGGGCGGGGGAAAACGCCCAGGTACGTACCTGTATCTGGTATAGCGTGTCATGTGTAGACCGGGTCTTCGCACTCTTATCCTATGGGTGCGGTGTCTGCCTAATGCTAAGCGAGTGTGCAAGTTTGCTAGGTGTTTAGTGTTAATGTTTGTGGCCTGTGTGGGAGGATTCGGAGGCGTGTTGGCGCGGGTGATTTCGTCGTTGGGGTACTCTAAGACGTGTCTAGGCCGACGAAATCGGAGGGATCTACGTTTGGAAGACGGGAGGGCGGACGTATGATAACTATTGGCTTTAACTACTAAGGGATTTCGATGAAGTAACGCCTCGAGGCGTCCTTTATATACTTCGCGATGGAGTCTAACTGCTCTATTGTAAGCTACAGCTGACAAGTACAGAGCGACCAAATCTTGTGGCACTCAGACGACATTGACAGGAGGGCGCTGCTGGTGAATAAATGGTGAAATGAGGGTTACTAAATATGCAAAATCTCCTCACTAAAGCGAACGTTATAATTTACAATCATTTGGAAAGAGTAATAGCAAACATGTTCCTCAAGTTCAGACGGTTTTTTTGTTCTACTATTTATTTTCGAGAAACTAAAAATACTGGTACCGTCCGTACGGTTTCCGCAGGAGCGGTTCGCGGCTCGTGCGGTGTTTACCTAAGGCAGTTGTCCGATCATCGCCGCGCCGGCGAGGAAACAACTAACTATTAACTCTTTCCTCGCTCAAGAAACGTATGATAGACATACATTCCTGGTAAGCAATAGAGATGCATGGTGGAGCGAGTTCTCGCTTGTTTCGTTCGTTCTTGTGAACAGTCAGCGATCAACTATTAATATATGCATCTCTTTTGTTTACACGGAATGTACGTTCCTTGAGTGGGAAAGTAACCGATAGTTAGTATCTTTATCGCCGGCGGGCGGCCGGACAACTGCCTAACAACTGATTATCATCAGTACTGCTTCTTCTCTAACTAACTTCAAGTATGAGACACAGCGCAAAGCTATTCAATGTAACTAAGTTTTTTTACCTTTCCCTTGTTCACAGATTTCGGCAAAGCATCCGCTGACATAATCTCTGGTCTCGTACTGATAGCTATAATCCGTCTGACCGATTGCGACGTCGTCACCGACTCACCAAAGAGGAAACCTTCGGAAGTCTACCAAAGAGATGGGATATCGAATGCGATACCGGAGCCGGATCTGTTGCCAGTTATGCACGGCAACGATACGAGATGTAGGATATCCGAATATCTTTGTGCTAATAAAAGATGCATACCGATAAACAGATTCTGCGACGGCAACAACGACTGCGGGGACTCCTCCGACGAGCCGAGGCATTGCAACCGTGAGTTTTCTTTCATAAGAACCTGTTTAGATTAAATTTTCGTGGTACAGTCATTGAAAGGATCTGAATTTCTTGAACTGTTTCTCGTCCTTTTCTCTAAAAATATGAAATTCGAAGTTGTATGTATTGTATGAGGTAATTATAGTACAATATTAATTGTTCTGATATTAAAAGTACGTAGGGCTTGACGCGGTAATTTTAATCGCTTAAGAGTAAACTATCTAGTAATACTGTACCTATATGTGTGCGGACCCTTAGTTTTTAGAGACTTAAATACACCCACCTTATGATAAGAACATTTATGGTATTTTATTAAAACTTACATAATTATATCTTTTTTGTTTTAGATTTTTGATTAACGTAATTGAATAATTTAATCAAATTAATAAGTTATGGTTTAAAAGTTCTTGTTCAATCAAATAAATAAGTTAAAAGGGTTATTGATGTTAATATTCAAACAATTGAAGTCAGAGATCATGAAAACAGGATCAATAACTAAAACCATTAGAAATAAAGGAAATTGTAGAATGTATTCAAAATAACATTAATTCCATTCAAATCATTCTGCGCTTTATCAACTCTAGCTCGTTTTTGTGACCCAGAAAAGGTCTCGTAACTCCACCGTTTTCATAATCTTTTGCTTTTATAAAAACATATATTTCAGTGTAACAGCTGTGCCGAAGGTACCGTACGTCAATGTCGCCAGAAAAAGTATGATACATTGAATGATCCAAAAGGGTTTATAGGTCAGTGATAAAATATTATTTAGGTATAGATTTTGTAGGAAAATTCTTCTTAGTCGTCTCTTGTTTGTAAGGAAATATGGATATGACAATGGTAAGATTTTTCAGCTAAGAACTTACTGGACGATTTTCTCGTGAGTTTCAAATAAAACAGCTCTGCGGACGCCCGCGGCGGCGGAGAGTACCGCTCCGTGAGATTTTCTATACTTATGACGCTTATAACGAAGACAAAAATATGTTAACACCTTGCGGTCTTAGCATCAAAAGTTTGACATTGTGAGATTAATAAATTTCTAGATTAATCAGTACGTACACTCATATGGAATTGTTGTCCAACATATTACTTCCTTGTCCCGTCGGAATAATGTTTAACTTACCTATTAACCTTTGCTTAGTGACAACGATTCCAAAGAAGTACAAAGTGCAACGTCATGAGATAATATCTACACTCCGACAACACAATCGATAACATTGGTCGAGGCTCGGAAGGGATTCGGAAACAATAGGTATAGGTTGTTAGCCCATAGCCTCTTGTAGCTATCGTGTTTTTCCTTCTAACAAAAGTGGGAAAAACTTACTTCGCCCCTGTACCGAGATTAATGGGCCGCAGTGAACAGAATAATGTTTATTTGGACTCTTTCTATTCCAAGGCTATTGTGATAAAAATGCTATTGTACCTGGACTGTTTCCTTAGTGAATATATTGACAGTGCTTCTTATTTGTTCCGTTATCGGTATGATGATAGGCTGAAAGAGTTTGTGGACTTTAAACCAATTTTATTCACAATGTTATGAATGAAAAACATGGGTGTATTACCTACTTGAATATAGAAGACTTCCGTTTTCGTATAAAGTCTTAAGATGCTATCAATTCATTGTAAAACATATAATTTTAAATGTGAATTTCTCTGTTATATCTATTTTTAATGTACCTATTTGTTTTGACATTTTGATGTTGACATTTCATTGATTTTAACTATATAATTAATATTTGCATGCCATTTAAATAGGCTTAAGTATAATCTTTTGGATGACCTACCAATCTAATGTAAATAATCTACCCTATTTACAGCAAAAAAATCATTTCATTCGTCTTTGACTAAGTAAACAGTTTAATCAATAGCATTTTACATATAAAACTGATTTACATGTGTAATGTTTACACAAGGCTTATTTAAACTAATATATTTTTTTTAAATATAAACAGCATCACTCTCCATCTGGTCAAATGTATGGGATTGTCATTATTACGTAACAAACGCGTAACGAACTGCTAAGTGTCAATTCATTTTCTATTTTGCTTCTCCCACACCTACACGACGAAGCTTGGTATTAAATGTGCTAAAATTAGCATTCAAAATTTCAATTTAGTTCTATCGTAATGAATAGGGGTGATGACGGGGTACAGTAAACGAAATTCTATTGAGTCCGTCAGTTAGATGATCAAAAAATAATGGACACGTATTTTTTCTTTGGGCAATCAACCAAAAAATGACAAAGTTATAGCTCGCCAAATTTTGGGAGCAAGGGCTCGTGACGTCACTTTTAAGTGAAAATTGTACCAAAACGTGACTTCATGCGATTTTTCAAATCGATATAAAATATCTCTGCAATGCTTATGTTATGTGAAAAAAGAAAAAACACGTGTCCAATACTTTTTGATAATCTGCCTAATAAACGAAGAAAAATGAAAATTAGCATCATCCCTATTATCGAGCTGCGTGTCTATAGACGTTAGAGACAATAGCTTGACTGGCGATTTTTGACACGCATAAAAGAGGTTTTAGGAGGCGATAAATTTGTATGTGCAACTGAAGGAGCGTGCTTACAATGGCACTAAGTAATTCAAATTTCGAAAGCTAATTTGGCCATTTTCCACACGCATGAAATTTTGGGAGACCATAAATCTTTACTGCGCAGGTATGGCAGAAGCATTATAACGTGACGCTAACGTAGCGTATAGCGAATTCGCTACTAAGCGTTTGCCACTTGGCTACGGCACTGATTACTTTTTCCTACATTCTTCACTAACTCTAGTACTACATTTTGGACTATACAAAATTTATATTAGTACCAGAGGCAATGTCAAGAGACTTGTTTAAACGTCGATTCATTTCATTAAATAATCGTCGTCCTTCGAAGCTACGCAACTATTACACCTGACCTAACCACCCGACTCTGACCTTTCTTCGATCTGAAACGAATCACTCGCGGAGAAAAGGCCCCTTGGCCTTCCTTTTATTGAAAATATCCGCAGATTCCTTGCGTTATACTCGCCAATGATTTATGGAGCGATATTACGATTTATGATATTGCCAATTTAATTTATTATGCATTTTTCTTGAATACCAATACAACGTGATATAATGGAACGAAAATTCCATTTTTACCGATTTAAGACTTAAGACTATCTTGAGCGGCTTTTCAGACACTCTGTGCTCTTCGCTATTCGTTACTTAAAACGTTTAATTCAATCGTTTATTTTTACGCATATTAACAGATTTGTATGATAATGCTTAACGGGACCACATTGATGAAATATCATTACTATGAAATAAAATAATTTCTTAATGAAACATATTTTAGATGTTTCACACAAATTTTGCTTTAAGATACTCTGGGCGGGTTGCCATTTATACTTAATTTTCTTACGCACAATTTCATTTTGATTTATGACATGTCACAATCACGTAGGGCTTTTAGCGCTTGCTCAATTGACAATCAAACTGAATGGAACAAAGTTAATTCTTAAAATCGCATTCGCTATCTTTGCTTTGGTCTCGGGGGTTTCAAATAAATGTCGTTTGTGGCGCGCTATAGTAGCGCGCAGATAATTGAGTTTGGGGATGCGACGACACGAACCGTGCCCCAATTCGATTCAGCGCTTATTTCGGGTTTTAGATTTGTTTCAACGTCTTTGCTGTTTAGAATTTCGTGTTCATTGTACTTAAAATCATGTATAGGTGCTAAGCAAGTTCATTGCTTATACATAGCCTTTCACCACAAATCATTTGCGTAGTTCACAGGGTTTGCAACATTCCTGATATAACTGCTGATGTGTGAAATGCTTCATTTGTTTCCAGCTACAGAATCAATATAATTAATTGACACAAAAGAAAAGTCACAATAAAATAGTAGATGTGAAATACATAACCGATTTTAAACCTTTTTATTATTGTATATACTTAAACATTGCAATCAATAAAAATAGTTCAGTGGAAAGAAAGGCTGGTACTTACATCCATATACTGTACTTTAATATAACAAAGAGGAGGCGTATAAGTAATGATTCTAACGGGGAAAGTGTAGCAACCTTGTTTTCCTTTTAGTTTTCCTCATCTCAATGGGAATATCCAGGGGAATATTGCATGCCTTTCTTAATAAGATACCTGTAATATTCTTCATGATTCCCTATGATAAGTAACAGAATCTTACGGGACTTTATTGCAATGTTTGGTATTAGCTCGAACCATTATGAGCTAATCCTGTTGCTGTTTAACAGACATAAACTACTAATATTATCATTCGTATGTTGTTATACTAATATTATCGCGGTTATTTATTTTTAGTCGATTTATGATGTGCAATTTCTTATGTAAGTCTACCCATGGTGAGACGCCTTTTTGACGTCGAGCACAAAACTCCGTTATCTTTTCATCATCATCATCATCATCATCATCAACCCATGCTCGTCCACTGCTGGACATAAGTGTCCCCTAATGCACGCCACTGCTCCTGATTATGTGCCACTCTCATCCCGCCCACTCCAGCTAATCTGTCATCATCCCATATTGTCTCAGGGCGTCCTACACTACGTTACCTTTTACCGCTGCCTTATTGGAATCCTATCTTACTATGTATAATATAAAACCAGAAATAGCTCGATGGTGCATTAATTCATACATATAGTGATTCCAACTTCCGTTAACCCAAATATTTACAATCACTAGTTCGTTTCTGCTGTATTAGCACTTCATCCTCCCAACCACCAAAATTCGCCGTTTTCTCGTGATCCTACTGATTTGTCCTATTAGTAGAACCACGAGGGAGACCTATTTCTGTCTGTCCTACTTTATGTTTATTTACATAACTCACCTCGGCACACAGTATAGTACAACCTTATCAACAATATACAATAATACACACGGAACATCCAGGAATTCAGAGCAAAAATAAGAAGTTTCGCGAGTGAAGCCGCTCTACTTTACTGAAATTGCACTGCTGTCAATAGCGAAGGAAGTACGAACTAATTTCAACT